CGCTCGCCCCATGGGATGTCTGGAAACATACGGATGAAGCAGCGTTCATTTCTGAGACTACCTGTCGACAGTAGTACTGGCTCTACTTCAGTGATGGAGTTCAGCACAACAAGCGGAAGTCTTGGCTCTCCGAAATGTTTAGAGTTGGGGTGCCGCGTAATACGCACTACATGTACAGGTTTCAACACAGCTCCGATTAGGTTACTAATAAGGTCCCACTGGTTGATGTCATCCAACTGCCTGCCTCTTATGTATGTCGACTTTGATTCTGGGATATTGGGGCACAGTACGCGCAGTACAGGTAGTTGTTTCTTTACACATTTTTACATGTCACGATTAGTGATTGTAGTAATCGGAGATGTACCGCAGGAAACCGGTTATGATTGTACTGGAAAAACTCAGCTACGCTTTTCAGTTTCCGATCCAGTTGGGGTGATGTTAAATTTAAGTGACGGCTCTTCTTGGAGGCAACTGTAACCGGACTTTCGCTAGTACCGGCTTGTTCTTTTTCTACGCACTCCGTCGGGAGTTTGGAATTAGCTTTTCGTGTAGTTACTCCGATCGAACTGGGAACTGCATTAGTCAAAGGTGAGCCAAAATGTGAGCTGCTGATGTTTTGGACTCTAGGTGTCGTGTTGCTTACGATGTTACTAGCAGTTCTTCGCGGAATGGGGGTAGCACTTACGGGGGAGGATTGGGTTGCACAGTCTGCTATGCTTACCCCAACCGTAGTGATTTTGGTGGTCACCATTTTCTCAAACTTGGCTAGTAGCTGGTCTTACCTCTGAGATAATAGGAGCCCGCTTTTTATCAATGGGATAAATGAGCATTCCACACAGATCCATAGAGAATCTGGTTTGCTTAATAACTTGGTCTGCCTAGGCTTAACTCGGAGACACCTCGCATGGAAAAGCTTGCAACAGTTATGGCACAAAGTGCCCCCTTAACATGTTTGGTACACGATCCACATAGGTCTTTAGACTGTGGCACACTGGGCATCGCGCTTGTTGAGCAAATGTTACGAATTATCTGAATGACCCACTCTCTATGGTAAAAGGTTGTTCTATTACTGACGTTGTAGGTAAGGTCACAGTGTTCAAGTTGCAGTTATGTGCTTATAGACTGTCCTCTCTGACTTGCCAGCCGATTGTGTCAGCTTGAAAGTAGGGCAGATAACACGAAGGTTTGATTGAGAATTTTCGGGGTTAGGTCTATGGATCATACCGGGTGAATTTGCCTTGAGACCTATAGCTGCATCAAGCAATGTTGGATTTGAATGAGTGACCGCTTGTTCGAAAGCCTTTGAAATGTTCGAGTGAGAGACCAAACAATCTCTCTAATGATTGGAGTTAGGCAAATTTTGGCGCTTGGATATCGGCGAAACACTGCCTGGAATTCAGAATTCAGGGTAAATGTAGAATGTACTGGAGTGTACTCGAGGTAATATCACAAGGTGGAGTTTTTAAAGGAGGACGAGTAAGTATAGATCCAAAGGTGTGTGACAGAATGCCGCTGAGCCACAGTGCAAAACCAGCGAGTGCGCAAGTGAGCGAGTTTCACGCACGTTCGCTCAAGGTCACAGCCTTGGTGTAAATCAGTTTGCATGTCAATTTGCTCATATGTCTCAGGTCCATTCTGCATTACTCTCATAATCTATATCTGTAGGACAAGGAAATTCTGCCTCACAAAGACACTTAGAGATAGTCGAGTTCTCCACCTTTTTCCGTGCGGTATCTATCCAAAACACGATATCCAGTAAATTTACTCGTTGCATGAGCTCATTTCCGGACATATTTTTATGAGATTTTGTGATCGTAATAAGGTGAAGTAGCTGTTTATTTCCCGGAACTTCATTTTAAGCCCCTGAATGACACCCTGGTTGAGGGGTTGTACTAACGCAGTGGTGTTTGGTAGCAGGAACTGCAAGTTGGCATTAAGTAGCTGGGATTTTGGGATAGCAATTGACATTGGCACTCGACACTATAATGTTGCGCTTTTGCTCTGCATTGTTTTATGTCAAAACTTTACAGCCAATCCTCGAAAATAGCTGCAGTCATCTATGCCCTTTTATTATTCTTCTAAACTACCGGGAAATTTTTCATGCTGACATTTCTAAAAATTCGAGGGTTGACTGGTTTCCCAATCACTAAAGCCGGTTTACGCTCCCCCAACATTTTAGTGCACATCATAACTGTGATACGCTCTTTGCTTTTTTCCCCACCTGAGAATTCCGGTCCTTTGATAAAAAGGTGTTTTATCCGACGTTGCACTGAATAACAAAGCAGTTTCGTCTAAATAAAAAATGTCTTGAGCTGTAGAGCCAAAAAGCATTTCGGGTAATTTTTGTTGCAGCACACATATCTGAGTCACCGTTTTCGCCCGATTTGTTGCTCAATACAAGCCTGTGTCTACGGATAAAAGCATGAAGCCAACCGTTTGACGCTTTAAAGTCTGGGTTTTGCAATTCTTTTGCAAGTGCAGTGCTCGTTCTTGAACCATGGATCCAGATAGTGCTTTTTTTCGCCAGTGCCGACTGGGATCATTTCCAGCAAAGTGCATTCATTTCTTCGTTACCCGTTTTTCTACTATTCTTTCTTTGCATTCTCGATGAATTTTCACAAATGCTTTCAAAAACTCGGCTTTCTTCTTCAAAGTTATAAGGACTTGTCTTTCCCACTCCGAAAATTTCCGCCAATGTTCGCGAAGTTTTTCATCTTGAATTTGCGAATCACTGATATTCTTTCTTCAAGTGTTTATACCTTTGGCTTTGCAGCTTTGGAGCTAGCCATTTTGTTCCTCGTAAGAACCTTCAAAAAGAAGTAGAAAAACGAACATGCATTGTCAGTAAGGACGTACCTCAATAGTGGTCGCTCAGCACTGACAACCGGCTGTTTACACAATAAACAAATACACGCAGAAAGTGATAGCCACAGCAGTTGCAACTGTGAATCAGTATCACAAAATGCACGGTGCGCGGCGATGGGAGTCCCACGGCGCTTTTGTTGGGCGACATGGTTCTATCCGATTAGTTCATTGCACACCCCATAGCGGGATACAAGCGTTAGTTACGCAGGGCGATATCCGGGGGGGGGGGGGGAGGGTAATGTGTCACTGGACAAGGCTGGTGTGAAGGTAGTGTTACCCCTGGGGTCAGGATAAACTAGTGGTATTGGGGGAATTGTGCGATTTGAACTGGTCCAACTGCGACAGCAGGGGTTTTAACAAGCCCATGGGGAAGCGAATAAGGAGACACAGAATGCGTGTTTTTGGGCGCTAATGAATCAGTGCTGGGCATATGGTGTGGTTTCTGGACAATTGCGACACCTTAAAAATGAAATCTAAACTATCTGTGCGGTACGGTGGCAGACTTTCATGACACCACTACTCGCAATCTCGGCCAGTTCTGTTAGTGGTAGTCGCCTTGATCTGGTGCTAGTACCCGTGGTGACCACAATTGTTTGGTCACGGTTGCGTTAGACAGGTGGACATTATAGACAGGTTAAGACCAATAAGAATATATACGAAAATCGTTGGGGATATTTTTGACTGGTCGCTAGGGGCAGATGGCCGCTATGGACTGGTGGTCAACATGGCAGGTTAAACTGTATATCTATTCCTGCATCGACCGTCTTGCCGTGACCTAAGGAAGAGTGTCGCCTTATATTCTGCATACAGCGGGATGGATAAGCGAAAACACGCTGCCGTTGACGCCCCCTATTCTTCTTTCCCTGCACATACTCTTCTCGTCCCCGTTACAACTAACCCACTACTTCCTCCAATCCAGGTCGCTACCATCCATATGGTTGCGTACCAACGCAACGTATACATCTGCGCAAAACACTCAACATCGGCTGATGAAACTTGCCCACACTGCCCGACCGGAATACGAGTGTGTTCCGAGCGACGCACTGCACTGGTCGCGATGGAACAATGGCGCTACGGGATCGGCATCGCCACGCTCATGGTGTCCCGGCTCGTATACCAAGACAAGCTGCATCAGGCTGGTGCTGGTTACACGTTCTACTGGGTGGGGGACGCCACCTCAGCACCGCATGATCGTACGGTCGGATTTGCACTATCTGATCGCATAAATTAGGGGCGTCCAAACTTTTCGCAAGACGAGCTACATTTTAAGGTAGAAATATGGCGGGCCATATTCAGTCAGACGGTGAGGTAATTAACCAAAATGGCATACGTTGTAAATTTGTATGGCGTATTTAATGTGAAGAGTGAAGCTGAGTTGTTGACTCCAGTATACTGGTCAGATCAGTCTCAGTGACACTGGTTTTGATAGGCGAGATATCACTTAGGTGAGAGGCACTTGGCGGTTTGTTGTTAGTTAATTCGCTGGTTATTATATCCAAAATGAAAATGAAAATGTACAGTGCAGAGCAGAACGGTCGGCCAAACACCAGTTTATAATGCGGGAGAGTCAGTTAAAGAGCATGATGAAAGTTTGACAATTGATTCCCCAGCTGCAGGGCGATACCGTGTTTTGCTATTCAAGCACATTTTGATAACTTAGATTATTCATTTGTTAGTTGAACTGTTCGCTGAGTTTGACGCTTTTGTTGCTGCCGTTTCATCAACAATGGAAGAGTCATTTTAAACGCACTGATACGTTTGCAACAAAATCGCCGGGATCAGTGAGCGGTACACTGTTTTCTGAGTGTTGCTGTACTTCTCTAAAACACCATTTCGAGAATGATGCTGGTGACGCACAGAGCCTCGTCATTCAGGTGGAATCCCTCAAACCTCCGAAACCCCATGGTCTGCGAAACCGAGGAAACCTGGGTAATCAAAAGAATTCTAACGCAATTTTCCATAACGTTGCTAGTGCCACTGAATCTTGCCTTTCGTTGCTGGCGTCTGACACACTTGACAGCTTCCGTACACCTGTACTCAAAAATGCAAAGAAAGTAACTGCTCCGTCGAGCAGAAAAGCATCGTGTAAATAGCCTCCGCCCATTCAACTGGCATGAACAGCTCGGATACTGTCGATGGGCAAAAGGATTCCCTCTTGTAAACACAGGCGAGCTGTTGAGAAACCGTCAATACTGTTTCCTCCATCCGATCAGCCCACGGACGAGGTGCGCCAGTTTCCAACTGACACAGGACACACCAACTCGCAAACTTCGGTATTTAGACCCCCTGTTGTTGGGGGTTCAAGTTCGACGTTGCTGCATACAAGCGTTTGTTTCAGTTATTTCGCGGCATCTATCGGGACTAGTTTTGCTTAATTCTCATCCCCGTTTCAGTCCACAGGGATCCCCAGAGCTGCTGACCAGAGTAACCCGCATACACGATTGGATCCAACAGAAAATTTAGAAGAATTCGTACTTCAGCCAGCCCCAAAAGTAAGTTTGAAAGTCATGGTGTTCTATCAACAATTCTTGTCGTTTTTTTACCTCAATTGATAACGAAGTTTTTGCCTTGTATGTATATTTCTTATATACTGGCTCGAAACCATGCGGTCGATTTTATTGACTGTTACACGCAGTTCAGCGGAGAAGCCATTCCATCCTAACTTGTTTCGTATGCTTGCATAGAGGAGGTGATTAAACTCTTCCAAAAGCATGCCTTTGAGAGACTAGTCGTAACCGATACACCACTCTAGTGCGTTCGACACCCCACAACTCAAGGTGACACATAATGCAATGCATGATTCATTCAACTTCACTTTGAAGTGAAATTCGTATGATCATGCAGTGGACTGTATTACTTGTTGCAAGACGGCCTCACACTAGTTAACATTTTCCAAACGCCTAAAATTTTGCCACAACTGTTTGGAACACTCCCTGCGTTATCAGTCTGCACCACATAATTGAGGTGTATGTCAAGGAAAGTTCAGATGTATCTGCAACGTAACGTTTTTCTGCATATGTCTACCTTGGCATACATGAGCGGCTTAGAAAGTATGTTGAATAAAAGGTTAAACAGCAATTAAAATAATGGAAGCCGATAGTTGTACACCTTTTGCACCCGCTTTCGTCTTCATATATGGTTTTCAACGGATGGATGATTTTAACTCAGTAAACAATTCCCATCTTTGAGCGCTTGTTTGTTAGGCCAGTTGAGTGATTACCGTTGACGCAGAAAATGTTTCATGCTGGCGCGTTTTCTTTACCTAGCTTGGTGTCACCTAGCTTAATTGGCCACAGCAACTTGCGCTCTACACCTTCAGCTTGCACAGTTCATATTGCATTAGCCGGATCGAAATGGTCTCAGCCGTCATTAGTAGGCGCCTATTAACTTCTTTGGAATAGCGCTTTGGCACTGCAATGGGGTCGCCCCTGGGTTCATTGCTTACCGACAGTTTCCTTGACCCTCGTGAAGGTGGGCCTCTCCGAACAATTATCGTCTCACTTGATTTCTACTGGAGGTACATTGTTGATGCTTTTCTAATTTATGATAAAAAACGCTGCTGTTGCTCATCTGCTAGATCAGTTTAATGGCCCACACCGCTCTCGGGTGTTTATAAGCGATATTAAAAGGGAAGGAATGTTAGGCTTTCTGGACATTTTGCTAAGCAGAAGAGAGGGCGGCTCATTCCAGAGGAGCGTCTATCGAAATTGTACTTGGACAGGTGAATATGCACATTTTCACAGTTTTGTACTGTTGAAGTACAGAGGAAACTTAATTCGTTCTGAGTACTATCTTGCCAACAAAATTGATAGTCCAGACACTAGGGAAAGCGAAAAGGATTGCATGCTTAAGACACCACAGGATGCCGGTTACTCCTTTTCTTTCATTCGGAGGCACTCTGTGATCTGTGACCGACGAGAAACGTCCCTACCAGTGCCGAGAGTGGATATTTATCTTACTCTCTTTCAAGGGAATGTCCTCTTCGGTTTACTGAACAGGATACTTCTTTATATAATATATCTATATATATATATGTATACCACATTACTAATGTACGGTTTGAAGACCGAATGGAGTTTGTGTTGTGAGTTTCCCATTCCCTCGTGGATAGGATCTCATCCCACTCAGCCTCACACCAAACAGCAATCCCATCCTTGGCCCATTTCAGAAATTTCATTTTGTTTAACTTTTTCTTTCTGGCCTTTTCCTTCTCACATGTATGCCACCAGTTAATTGGCTTAATTTTGGCACAACAGCGGAGGCATTTCCCCGGTTCAGTTAACTTGTATACTGACAGTACTGCAACCCATTACTCCAGCTGATGTACTTTATATCCTTCCAACAACTGCGCTACGCAAATAAAGATACTATCAACGGTGATTTTGAAAAACGAGGCATATTCATGTATAGCTTTGTTATTACAATTCGCTGAACGTCTGCAGTATTAGCTCCAAGTGACTCAGTGCCTTGCGCTTCCTGTGCCGCACCAGACGGCAATTCCGTCGTACTGTAAGTCATCAGTAGTGCACATCTCCAGTCTGTCCTAAGACCCAAAACCATGACCTCTCGTCACCGGTGACTTGTGCCTCGACGCACAAGTGATGACAGTAGACTAGGACATGCAAGGTAGCCGCGATATAGCATGGCCTATACGCGATTACCATGGAAGTTACGCACTTTGCGATAGGCAGGGTAGGCATCTATAGCCACGGTTTCTTTACCAAGTTTATTTTGACTTTCCAACTACTTATCTTGCCTCCGCTATAGCGCACAAAATTGTTGGATTCTCACTCTCTATCAATCAGTATCCTCTGAATGCAGACTTCCAACTAAGGCATTAACTGTTTTTCTTTAAGCGCTTTCGGTACTACCACAAGCGGTTTTTCAGCGACAACAATATCTCTCATAAATGCAATCTACCAAAGATACCAACGTCCGATGTGGGATTGCTCACTTACATCTCGCGTGGTAGCAACAGATACTTTTGCTTCGCAAAACTATGATACCCAAGGTATGGAGGTGGTGACAGCGAACTGCCGGTGAACGTATATCATACATGCAGCGTCTAGTCTAACAAGCGGATTGCAACGACGAGCCGTCCAAGTGCAAGCCATGCATACCCACCGGTTCGCAGCATGCATGGTTGGCGGCATCCGGTTTCGGATTTGCCTGTCACTGTGGCCAGACACAGGACGCCTGCGCCTACAGAGGGACCATGGATGGCTTGCGCTGCACCACCCACAGCTCCAACCACACACCCCATATCCAGTGTAAACCCGAAGGAATAAGACCGGGAGGCATGTGGATGGGAGCCACGTTTCATCAACAGAGCCGGCCCACACTCTTTCATAGGCAAACACAAGTACACTGTATTTGGGGAATCAAGCGCACACAAGGCGGTGGCTGGACCGTAGTCCGCTCCACACTGAGTGCATGGAACCGCTCTTCGAGCCTAGCACAACCACAAGGACCGTGTACTCCGTCCCCTACAGCAACGACCAACTGTCTCCTGGAGCCAGTATGGACGAGTTAGTGGGTAATAGACAGGTAGGCACCTTGTCAACATGCACATCAAGCGCATCCACACCGGGGATATCAAACAACAGCCAAACACTTGAGAGAGAGAGAGAGAGAGAACGAAAAAGAGAAAAACTCGATTAATGCATAAGGATACGGTGATATAAACCTTACTTAAATAGCATATACAGTAAATTGTTTACAAACAAATCCTAGCTAAGTGCACGAGGTCAGAAAATATAGTTCATGCAATTCCTACGTACATAAAAGTGTCATGGAAATCGAATACGATTGGCTTAGGCGATGTGTGCAAGTTAATGGAATAGAGTACAGGGAGATATTTATATGAGAAAGAAAAGCATTAAAGTAAAAACTGTAAACCCACCACCTGAAATAAAGAGACTTAGCATGCAAGCACGCATGCATGCATACACTCGACAATAGATGACCCCACAACAGTCCCACACATCGCCGTGGCCGTGGTTGTGGTGGACTATGTGATTGTGGCCTGATGGTGCAACTGACGAAATCAGGTCAATTGGTCATGGTCGCGGCTTAGTCTCTTGCGTTAGCTGCTTAACAGACACATTTCGCCAACTGGTCCATCACCACGCAATGGCACAAGAGCATCCATCTCTCGTCGGTAAGTAGAGGTACAGAAGGGATCGACTGGTGTCCGTATGAAAGAATCCGGAGACTTTGTTAAGCGTAACACCATTGTCACTTAGCGTACCTTGTTTCTTTTGCACTTTCCGTGTACACTAAGAAATTAGCTCAAGGGGTTAAATGAGTTTATCGGCTGCTCTCAAGTGTTGCATGGCTATGAGCAGAACCATTCAGAAAGAAACTAAAATTTTTAAATGGTGTGCCAATCGGTAGAGAGACCCCGCTGCGGCTACTGAGCACACGTAGAGCCTTGTCTAGACAACGGACCATCATTTTCCGTGTTTTGCTCTGACCATTAGTTGGCGGGCTACAGCTACTGAAGTGAGAACTTGCACAAGTTACTCGACGGATTGGTGTCAAGTGGCAGAGTTTGATGGGAAACATGCGTGTGCATGTGTGTGTGTGTGTGTGTGCGAAATCCCACAACTAGTTGGCAAAACATTTACGGAGACATTTCAATTGATTAACCAAGCATACGGGAGGACTGTTTAAGTCGCTCACATTGCTATAAGATGTTTAGGCGCTTTGAATACGGCAGAATGTCGGTCTGGATGATCCCAAGTCTGAGCGATCTTCCACATTAACAGACGATGACCTTGTCAAGTGAGAGTCCGTGCCGTAATCCTCGAAAATCGTTGTTTGTCTGCTTTGAAAAGTTACTGACGAACTGGACATCAGCATAGGATCATACCAATAACTGTGAGTGACAGACTGGAGATGTGTCGTGTCAGTGCAGAATTCCTACCCAGTCTGTCGACTGACTATCAGAAACAGAGGCGTGTTGAATGCAGTCATGAATTGACAATGACACGGACACTGAACATGAATATTTCTTTAGGAGCATCGCGGCAGTCAATGAGAGGTGGATTTATAGCTGTGATGCTGAAAGGAATTTGCAGTTAACGCGTTGGATTGCGAGCGGGTCTCCTCATCGTAGAAAGCGCGCATGATCAGGTCAATGACCAATGGTGATGTTGGTTGTATTCCTTGACTGCAGAAGCACTGTCCATCTGGAATGTTTACCACGTGATCAGATGGTAAACAAGGATGACTACCAGGGAATTCTAACGCATTTGACCTATGTTATGCACAGGTAGATGTCTGAACTAGGAAAACCAAACGTGGAAGTTGCATAATGACAATGTGCCAGCTTACACATTCCTCTATTTCCGTAGTTAACTAGCGAAACGCCAAACTCCAATTGTGCTTCATCCACCGTATTCTCTGGACATAACCACAGCAGACATTTTGTTTCCCAAACCCTAAGCCGGTTCGAAAGAACGTCGTTTCCAAACCGTAGGGGAGATTC